ACTTGATCACTTTATTAAATCACTACACTCATTTCTTTTTTTTTATTAAATTAATAATATTTTTTATTTTTTTTATTTTTATTTTTTTTATAACCTTCATAATGTCATGTGAAGCTGGATTTTTATTAGGTATTTTAGATAGTACATTATTAGTTAACGAGAATACATTCTAGCCATATCTGTACCTTTTGAGCGCTTAATTAAGTAGCTACCTATTACTAGAGTTTACACTAAATGCCATACCTGTAACTCACTATTATTTGAATTATCCATTTAAACTCTCTGATGTCTCCCATCCTGTACCATCTACCACCAGCATATAACCTCATGCTGCTTCTTATTAAAGACCACTCAGATCGACATCTGCTATACTACTTGTGTTCTAATTCTAAAGATAACCTAGTAGGATTTTTATATTACTAGGTTGCCTTAGGGAGGATGTAGTACATACCTCCTAATTTTTCTATGTCTCACACACTTCTAGATTAAGCTATGAATACCTTCTGCAGCAGCCAAAATCACTACTAGCAGTCAGGACAAACTATTAAACCGCACAATTCCAGTATTCGGTGCCCTTGCAAGGTTCATTCCAATCCTGATATCTACATCAAACCGGTCCTTATACCGATCTCTTTTCAACTACCAAACTAGTTAGCCCGGACAGGCCATTGTACCTAGGCTTTAAGTACCTTCCAGTTTTACTTCCCTTGGTTTTTAATTCCATAGTATAGAACCTTTTTTTCTGATGCAACTCCGGCAGCTAGGTTGGTAGACTCTTCTTGCTCCAAAGTTTTTTCATCTGGTTCTTTGGTCTCCAGTTTTTGGCTTTTCTGCAGTATTGTTAAAGATCTTCACTATCTCTTTACTCGGATCTTGCCAAATGGGTTTCAATTATTCCAGTTTCTTGGATTTAGATTGGCCAAGAGCTTCTATTTCAAGATGGTAGTACCAAGATTACAGGTAATATACCTAACTGATTGTTGAATAATTGTTACTGATACACAGGGTTATTTTTTTAAAAATGTCTCCAGTAAGATTCGAACTCTAGACCTGCCGCTTAGGAGTGACAACTTAACCACTACTCTAAGTCACCACACCTATTTAATAATATTTTATTAAAACAATAATTGAATAGATTTACTAAATCATACTAATGTTACTAATATTATATTGATTTTGACTAATAAAATTAATAATCTGCAATATAATATCAAAATCTGATGTAATATAAAAATCAAAACAATCTGTTTTTTTTTATAAACCTTTAATAACTCAAAATTTTGTTTATAAAACTGCTTTTTATATTATAATAAAAAAATTCTTTGCACAATTTTAAGATCATATAAAATTAATTTTTTGTTTCTCATAATATTAAATTTTAAAAATAACTTAGCTAGTTAGCTTTTTCTTTTAAATTTTATATATAAAATTTTATAAAATTTTAAATATATATATATATTTTTTATAGTCAAGGTTAGCCTCTTTGGCTTTCCGCTTTTATTAGATTATAGAATCATGTGATGCCCTTTCAAGGAGACCCCAGACAAGTATATTCTGATAAGAGTATATTCTAGCCATACCTGTATCTTTTAAATGCCTAATTAAGTATCTACCTATTACTAAGTTCTATACTAGATTTCATACCTATAACCCACTATTACTTGAGTTACCTAATTAAACCCTCTGATTCAAGTTTCCTATGCCAATCCATCTAATCTCACCCAGAACATGCGATACATAAGTTAGTCCAAGTTTAAGATCATTATATGCCATCTATAGAACTACTAGCATTACTAATTCATTCTCGAGTGCATCACCTGCTAGAGTAGTCCGGTACTCACTATTACTGTATTACCTAGTATATTTCAGTAACTTACGCCTAGGCCGAGACCAAGTACTTGCGAGCTGAAGCCGCTATCATTACCTACTACGTCCTTATAGAGTTTACTCAGACCCTAACACCCACTATACAGACTATCCGCTGTACATTCATCGTCTTAAACTTCTAATCCAGATGGTCTAGAAGGACTGTGACCTGCTCTTGGACTTCTCAGTTGGGTTCTTTTCCTCCGGTTACTCTCTGGTAGCCTGGTTGATAGAGTGCTTTGCCAAACACTTTGGTCCTGTTCGGTTCTCCAGTTTCCTGATTGATAATCCTTTATGTAATATTGTTGAAGATCCAGATATCTCTCTACTTGGGTCTTGCCAAGCAGGCTTCTGTATGTGCTAACCTTGGATTTATACAACTGCTTTACTTGAGTTTTGTGTAACTTGTATATTACACTATTGTTCCACAGTTTCTCAGTACAAGCTGATATGACCTAATTACAGATGTCAATCTGCCTTTACACTCATAGTTGCCATAATACTGTACTGAAAATTCAAATTTTTTTATCACCAGTGAAATTCGAACTCTGTTCCTGCCACTTGATGGTACAACAACTTCACTACTTCACTAAGTCACCACACCCTTTTAAATATTTTTTTTGAACCCACCAGACTATTAAAATATATAAAATTTTTCTTAAAAAGTTTTCAAAATTTGACCTGACCAGATTATAGAAACAATTAATTAAATTTGTATAGTCTAATATATATTAAATTTTATTTAAAATTATAACTATAGCTCTAACTCTAATATAAGCTAAATTTTACAAATATTATAAAATTACTCTATGGTGATCAGCACCAATGGTTACATAAACTATTTATTATTTATTACTGTATTAGATCAATAATCACACATTATATAATTTTTTGTTATACAATAAAGGTTATTCTATTAATATTTATTTACCTTTTACAGATGATTTTACAATTTTCTCTTGCACTATAGCATTTTATAGTATTGTTTGATCATGGTCTATTTTTACAATATAATATTTACTTTGGTTATTTTAATGTGTCGCTCTTGTAGTTTCATTTTTATAGTACTATTTTTGTAATGCTGTCTTCATCTTGTTACTTTTACTGTATCAATTTCATTATATTTTCACTATATCACTCACCCTGTGCTTTTATCGTGTCACTTTTATTGTATGCTTTTACTGTATTGCTTTTATCATAGTGCCCTTTATCGTGTCATTTTTACCTTGTTGCTTCTACTGAGCCTTGTTGCTTCTGCAGTTTCATTTTCACTGTATTATTTTCTCTATACCTTATTTTTTTATATTTGTTGCTATCTCTTTCACGTTGCTTTTATCGTATCATTTTTTTTAGTAGGTTTACTGTCTCTTTTGTTTCGCTTTCTTGCTTTTTTTAGTGGGTTTACTAACTTTTTTTGTTTTGCTTTCTTGCTTTCATTGTGTCACTTTTACTGTGATTTTTTTTTTTGCTTTTGATGTTTTGTTAATATTAGTTTCTTTTTTTCTTTTTTGTTATATATAGCCTTTAGATTATATTCTCTTTCAGATTTTTTTTTTTAATTTGTCTTTTCTTTCAATTTGCTTTTCTTTCTAGACTATTTTTTTTTCTCTAAATTATCTTCTTTCTCTAGCATTTTTCTTTATATCGTCTTTTTTTAATACCTTTTTTCTTTCTAAGTTACGTGTTTTATAAATTGTTATCGCTTCTATTTCTGTTACTAATTTTTTGTCAGTTTCTTTTTTGTAAATTAATATTCTCTTGGGTACCTCACTGTTAGCTATGGATAATTTGGATTTTTCAATATTGATAATGATTTTGGCGTAAATAATAATAAGAGTTTTATGAGTGTTAACATAAACTATAATGAAAGTTTTATAAGTATCAATATAAATGATAATGAGATCTCTGGAGATTTTTATAACGATGAAGGGATGGATGATAACAATGAATCAGAATTAAGTGATTATGAAAAAAATGAAGAAAATACAAGATTTGCTTATTTGTTAGTTAAAAGTTAGGTTTTCGAGTCTTGAAAGCTGTTGACGAGTATGTTTATTAAAAAAAAAAATCCATTTGAATCTTCTGTTTTTGCTAAGAATAATCATTATTTTCCTTATATAAACTCAATAGTTGGTTAGAACATTATGGTCAGAAATTAGGCTTTACATTTAGTATTATACATATGTAGTAAAAATGACAAATCTGATGAAATTATCTTGGTAGCATATCTATACGTGTACAAAAGGACAGAGATATATACTATGTAAAGAAGCACATATACTTAATGAGAGAGATTGAAGTCATAAAACCATAGGTTGTTCTTTTCATATAAATCTATTTTGGTAGAAAAATAATAATCAAATTCGCATTTCAAGTATTGTTGGTACACATAATCATGAGATGGTTTAAAATATTACTATGGTTAAATCAAGGTATAGGAGATTAACAAAAAAGATGCAGGATGATATTAGATTGCTTGCGTTTTGTGGTGTTAGAGCCAGTTCAATTATTGAGGTTCTAAAACAAAAAAACTCTGAAAAATACATTCATACTCATAATGTATATAACATAATACAGATGATCTGTTATAAAAGTTGTGTTGTAGATGATGCAGGCAACATTTACTTGAAATTGATTAAAAAACAATATGATGATTCTAGTTATTTTGTTGAGGCAAAGTTTGAAGAGACAAATAATCATTTAGTTGCTCTTATGTAGATAACACCCAGTCAAATACAATTGTGAAGTAGATTTCATAATGTGGTTCTTATGGATACGATATTTAAAACAAACTATTGTTTTATGATGCTTTGTGTCTTAATAGTTATTGACAATCACAACTGTTCGCATCTAGTAGCAACTGTAGTTATTTCAAATAAGACAACAAAAACATTCTCATAGATTTTAAAAAAATTGCTCAAGGCAACAAATAGTTTTGCATCAAAAGTGCTATTTACGAATGCTGATTGTGCTATGGTTGCTTCTATAAGCGCAACATTATCAACTACAAAACATCATTTTTGTCTTTTTCATATACGAAAAAATCTTGAAAAACATTTTCTAAGTATATAAAGGCAAAAAGTGAGAGAATTTTTTAGAGAATTTTGCTATATACAAAATAGCCATGTAGATTTATATTTGAGAAATGTTGGAGAGATCTGATACAAAAGTATCCTGAATCAGCATCATATATGAAATGACAGCTTTATCCTTGCCGGGAAGCATAAGTGCTTTGTTTTACACATAGGTCATTTAATGCCAGTATACAAACTACTCAGCAGATTGAATCATATAATGGTATTATCAAAAAACATGTTAATAGCTCTTTGTTTCTATTTAAATTGAGCAATACTATTGAGAGGTTGCTTATTAAAGAAAATAGATATCAACATTTTAATGAAGTTAAAGGTATACTGCCAGTGATTTATAATAAGAATTATTGTGATAAATATTTTAAGTTGGTTAATTAATTGTGTTAAAAATTTTTAACAATAGCAATTCTTAAAATTCAGCATTATGAAATGAACCGCAGTATCTATTATTAAACACAGCTAGTCAATTTGGTAGATGAATTTCAATGTCAGATATATTTTTTAGGTTAATATAGTTTTACTGCAAGTTC